TTCAACACACGAGGCCAGTTCAACACACGAGGCCAGTTCAACACACGAGGCCTCTTCCACACACGAGGCCTCTTCCACACACGAGGCCAGTTCAACACACGAGGCCAGTTCAACACACGAGGCCAGTTCAACACACGAGGCCAGTTCAACACACGAGGCCAGTTCAACACACATTTTAGATTTTTTTTTATTAATACATGAGGTACATCTGCATGTGTGCAGCTACCCTAGACTGTCTAAAGGGGAGTACAGTGTCAAAACGTGATGCTAAAACATACCCATTACCCAGGATGGTTAGTCATACAGAGGCATGTGATCAGTAGTCTACACTGGCAGACTCTGGGTGCGTTATGAGGATATCATCAACACAAGAGTGAATAAGGTAGCAGTGATACTAAAAGTCTCCATCTCGCAGGATGGTTAGTCATACAGGGCCATGTGTTTAATAGCCTGCACTGGCAAATTTTGCGTGTACTATGAGGGTATCTTCAAGAATACGAGAGTGAATAAAGTAATTGCAAAGCTGCAGGTACCTCATGCCAACTGGTCTGAAAGGTCTAATAACTGGACATTCGGTGGTGTAGTGTGGGAGATCATGCCACAGTTCCTGCTCACAGAGTTTGCACCTGGAGTGCTCAGGATTGGGAGATCCGTCACCTGCAGCCACCTGCCACAGGTAACGATAGCCACCTGTCACAGGTAACGGTAACCCAACCTGATCCTGGCAACCACTGTGTCGCACAGTCTGGTGGACGTTTTGTGCTGCCCATAGATGTAGGTTTCAGATCTGAACAAATCATAGCTTTTTATACTAGTGCTTTCAGGTCGTTGGGAGTCAGTAAGTTCTTTCCAGGGGATCCAGTTTTTACGTGCCAACCTACGGAAGGAAAACACAGGTTTCCAGGCTGTCCCCGGCCTGGCCTGGGGGTATTATTGGTCTGAGATAAGGAGGTCCCCAGGCGCTCGCCGCTGATTGCTTGCAGAACCTGGGAAAATAGGGGGTGCCTGGCACCCATAGGCGCAGAGTGCCAGACCCCAGACCTAGTTTAGAATGGTTGGGTGTAGGCCACTAAATGGGTGGAGCTTAGAAAACTAGAATAGATTGTAGGTAGAGTCATTATTCACTTGTAGGTTGTTGAATAAGTCATTCTTCACTTCTAGTTTAATTAGTGTAGACTTGGGAGTGTTCTGGGACGGTTCTCCTGGGACGGGAGAGGGCCATCCACTGCAGTATTCCACCCATTTGCCTCTAGGTAGAAATTATTAGTTTTGAACGCAGTAATATCCCATCTGTATTATTTAGAAAATAAAGGTGAGAATCATTTTTCTGAGTTTAGTGAAATTTCCCTCCATATTAATTCTGAGTCATTTAATTCTTATCACATGGTGTTTGAAACCTTTCCTTGTGTTCTTGTATTCATCTGTTTGGGTTGTAAGTGTCCCATGATTCTCAGTAAGTAAATTAAAGAGTGTTCCATAATTATTTCCCAAGTAATTAAATTCCAATATTCCTATTCGTTGTCGGTTACTTGACCCTGTCTTCCCCCGGGCGTGTAGTGCGTCCGTTCAGCCACACTCAACTTGGGGAAGTGGTGGCCGCGAAAATTAAGGAATAACAACAGATTGGTTTTCCCTTGTAAGAAAACAGTTACCATTGCGTCAGATGCCCACTTTTGGGCCAAATTGGGCATTGTAAGCTGTGGTTAAGCTGGGGCACAATCTTGTACAATAATCTGGTACACGATTGTTACAATACAAGGGAAACTCGAGACGCAAATGAGTCACAGGGACGTCAGAAAGAACTTGTTCAGTGTTGTCAATAAGCGGAAGAAGTTAGACTTAAAGGTTGTTGAAGCAAATTGGATTCAAAGTTTTAAAGGCAAATATGATAAAATCATGAGACATTACATTAATCTAAGAAAGTTCGAAAGGCGGAGCCAGGTAGGGCCGAGCGGACAGCACGCTGGACTTGTGATCCTGTGGTCCTGGGTTCGATCCCAGGCGCAGGCGAGAAACAATGGGCAGAGTTTCTTTCACCCTATGCCCCTGTTACCTAGCAGTAAAATAGGTACCTGGGTGTTAGTCTGCTGTCACTTGCTGCTTCCTGGGGGTGGAGGCCTGGTCGAGGACCGGGCCGCGGGGACACTAAAGCCCCGAAATCATCTCAAGATAACCTCAAGATAGGGCGTGCTCGACCCTGCAAGCCCCTCTAGGTGAGTGTAGTTCACTACACCACCTGCACAACTTCCTCCCCATTAAACTGTCAGGTTTTGCTTGTAAATCATGACGATAATTTCAGCCCTAACAGCACAGGTCACTGACCAGACAAGATGGCGGCGGCCAGCTGGTGCGGCTCCCTCGTTACCGCTCGCGCGCTTAACTGCCTTACCACTCAATTACCTTCTGCACCGCCCTCTATCATTGCTTGACGATGTTGTTGCTGTTCCAGTGCTTTTTGATAGAATTTGCGACGACACAGACATTGTAATTAATTAATAGTAACAGTGATTAGATGGACGGATGATGTTATGAGTCTTATATTAAGACATCCTGTTGAGTCTTATTGGGTCCTGGTGTGTCCTGGTGGGTCCTGGTGAGTCCTGGTGTGTCCTGGTGAGTCCTGGTGTGTCTTGGTGTCTCTTGGTGTGTGCTGGTGGATCCTGGTGTGTCCTGGTGTGTACTGGTATGTACTGGTGTGTTCTGGTGTGTACTGGTGTGTCCTGGTGGGTCCTGGTGGGTCCTGGTGTGTACTGGTGGGTACTGGTGGATACTGGTGGGTACTGGTGTGTCTTGGTGGGTCCTGGTGTGTCCTGGTGTGTCCTGGTGGGTCCTGGTGTGTCCTGGTGGGTCCTGGTGTGTCCTGGTGGGTCCTGGTGTGTCTTGGTGTGTCCTGGTGGGTCCTGGTGTATACTTGTGTGTCCTGGTGGGTCCTGGTGTGTCCTGGTGGGTCCTGGTGTGTCCTGGTGGGTCCTGGTGGGTCCTGGTGTGTCCTGGTGGGTCCTGGTGTGTCCTGGTGTGTCTTGGTGTCTCTTGGTGTGTCCTGGTGTGTACTGGTGTGTCCTGGTGTGTCTTGGTGTCTCTTGGTGTGTCCTGGTGTGTACTGGTATGTACTGGTGGGTCCTGGTGTGTACTGGTGTGTCCTGGTGGGTCCTGGTGGGTCCTGGTGTGTCCTGGTGTGTCCTGGTGGGTCCTGGTGTGTTCTGGTGTGTCCTGGTGGGTCCTGGTGTGTCCTGGTGTGTCCTGGTGTGTCCTGGTGTGTCCTGGTGTGTCCTGGTGGGTCCTGGTGTGTTCTGTTGGGTCCTGGTGGGTCCTGGTGGGTCCTGGTGTGTGCTAGTGGGTCCTGGTGGGTCCTGGTGTGTTCTGGTGGGTCCTGGTGTGTCCTGGTATGTCCTGGTGTGTCCTGGTGTGTTCTGGTGGGTCCTGGTGTGTCCTGGTATGTCCTGGTGTGTCCTGGTGGGTCCTGGTGGGTCCTAGTGGGAACTGGTGGGTCCGGGTGGGTCCTGATGGGTCCTGGTGGGTCCTGGTGGGTCTTGGTGTGTCCTGGTGTGTACTGGTGGGTCCTGGTGGGTCCCGGTGTGTCCTGGTGGGTCCTGGTGTGTCCTGGTGTGTACTGGTGGGTACTGGTGGGTCCTGGCTGTTCCTGGTGGGTCCTGGTGTGTACTGGTGGGTCCTGGTGGGTCCTGGTGGGTCCTGGTGCGTCCTGGTGGGTACTGGGGGGTCCTGGTGGGTCCTGGTGTGTCCTGGTGGGTCCTGGTGTGTCCTGGTGGGTTCTGGTGTGTCTTGGTGGGTCCTGGTGTGTCCTGGTGTGTACTGGTGTGTCCTGGTGTGTCCTGGTGTGTACTGGTGGGTCCTGGTGTGTCCTGGTGGGTCCTGGTGTGTCCTGGTGGGTCCTGGTGTATCCTGGTGGGTCCTGGTGCGTCCTGGTGTGTCCTGGTGTGTCCTGGTGTGTACTGGTGGGTCCTGGTGTGTCCTGGTGTGTCCTGGTGGGTCCTGGTGTGTCCTGGTAGGTCCTGGTGGGTCCTGGTGGGTCCTGGTGTGTCCTGGTGTGTCCTGGTGTGTCCTGGTGGGTCCAGGTGTGTCCTGGTGGGTCCTGGTGGGTCCTGGTGTGTCCTGGTGTGTCCTGGTGGGTACTGGTGGGTCCTGGTGTGTCCTGGTGTGTCCTGGTGTGTCCTGGTGGGTCCTGGTGGGTCCTGGTGGGTCCTGGTGTGTCCTGGTGTGTCCTGGTGTGTTCTGGTGTGTCCTGGTGTGTCCTGGTGTGTCCTGGTGGGTCCTGGTGGGTCCTGGTGGGTCCTGGTGTGTACTGGTGGGTCCTGGTGTGTCCTGGTGTGTCCTGGTGGGTCCTGGTGGGTCCTGGTGTGTCCTGGTGTGTCCTGGTGTGTCCTGGTGGGTCCTGGTGGGTCCTGGTGGGTCCTTGTGTGTTCTGATGGCTCCTGGTGGGTCCTGGTGGGTCCTGGTGGGTCCTGGTGGGTCCTTACCTGCCTTAAGGTAACAGAACACCGTTACCTGCCTTAAGGTAACAGAACACCGTCACCTGCCTTAAGGTAACAGAACACCGTCACCTGCCTTAAGGTAACAGAACACCGTCACCTGCCTTAAGGTAACAGAACACCGTCACCTGCCTTAAGGTAACAGAGCACTGTCACCTGCCTTAAGGTAACAGAACACCGTCACCTGCCTTAAGGTAACAGAACACCGTCACCTGCCTTAAGGTAACAGAACACCGTCACCTGCCTTAAGGTAACAGAACACCGTCACCTGCCTTAAGGTAACAGAACACCGTCACCTGCCTTAAGGTAACAGAACACTGTCACCTGCCTTAAGGTAACAGAACACCGTTACTTGCCTTAAGGTAACAGAACACCGTTACTTGCCTTAAGGTAACAGAACACCGTTACTTGCCTTAAGGTAACAGAACACCGTCGAGGGTGTTTAAGCACTGTGTTGGAGGAGTCGAACCATCGGGTTCTGGCACCAGTAACAGAACTTCCGGTTCTACTTACCTAGACAGGTCTTGGCTCAGCAGTCATCATGTCGCCGTGTGATACGACTCTCGTCGGTTCGAGGCCCTCCTCACGATTCTGAAAAAATATAAAATTCTTTGAAATAAAAATATCTAAAAATCTGTCGCTGAGTTTGTTCCATCAGTGCCTATCCCACTGGCTGGGGGCTCCTAGCCCTCAGTTAGTGGTTGTCCGTTCCACCACCGTCTATCCCACTGGCTGGGGGGCTCCTAGCCCTCAGTTAGTGGTTGTCCGTTCCACCACCGTCTATCCCACTGGCTGGGGGGCTCCTAGCCCTCAGTTAGTGGTTGTCCGTTCCACCACCGTCTATCCCACTGGCTGGGGGGCTCCTAGCCCTCAGTTAGTGGTTGTCCGTTCCACCACCGTCTATCCCACTGGCTGGGGGGCTCCTAGCCCTCAGTTAGTGGTTGTCCGTTCCACCACCGTCTATCCCACTGGCTGGGGGGCTCCTAGCCCTCAGTTAGTGGTTGTCCATTCCACCACCGTCTATCCCACTGGCTGGGGGGCTCCTAGCCCTCAGTTAGTGGTTGTCCGTTCCACCACCGTCTATCCCACTGGCTGGGGGGCTCCTAGCCCTCAGTTAGTGGTTGTCCGTTCCACCACCGTCTATCCCACTGGCTGGGGGGCTCCTAGCCCTCAGTTAGTGGTTGTCCGTTCCACCACCGTCTATCCCACTGGCTGGGGGGCTCCTAGCCCTCAGTTAGTGGTTGTCCGTTCAACCAGCGTCTATCCCACTGGCTTGGGGGCTCCTAGCCCTCAGCCAGTGGTTGTCCGCTCCACTACCGTCTATCCCACTGGCTGGGGGGCTCCTAGCCCTCAGCCAGCGGTTGACCGTTCCACCACCGTCTATCCCACTGGCTGGGGGGCTCCTAGCCCTCAGCCAGCGGTTGTCCGTTCCACTACCGTCTATCCCACTGGCTGGGGGGCTCCTAGCCCTCAGCCAGCGGTTGTCCGTTCCACTACCGTCTATCCCACTGGCTGGGGGGCTCCTAGCCCTCAGCCAGTGGTTGTCCGTTCCACTACCGTCTATCCCACTGGCTGGGGGGCTCCTAGCCCTCAGCCAGTGGTTGACCGTTCCACCACCGTCTATCCCACTGGCTGGGGGGCTCCTAGCCCTCAGCCAGTGGTTGTCCGTTCCACTACCGTCTATCCCACTGGCTGGGGGGCTCCTAGCCCTCAGCCAGTGGTTGACCGTTCCACCACCGTCTATCCCACTGGCTGGGGGGCTCCTAGCCCTCAGCCAATGGTTGTCCGTTCCACCTGCGTGTGTACATATGTACACACGCTAGTGTACATACACACGATATGTGTAGATATGTACATATCTATCACAATATAATTTTTGTACTATATTAGGGTGTAGTTAACATCTGTGTATGTCCCAGAGACTTGTGATATATTTCTTGTTATCTTATTTCTTGACTCCATGTGGAGGTGGATATATTGTTGCAGTGTTGGTACTTGTGTGGGTGAGTCAGGTGTCAACAGGCAGGTATGAGTCAGGTGTCAGCAGGTAGGTATGAGCCAGGTGTCAGCAGGTAGGTATGAGTCAGGTGTCAGCAGGCAGGTATGAGTCAGGTGTCAGCAGGCAGGTATGAGTCAGGTGTCAGCAGGTAGGTATGAGCCAGGTGTCAGCAGGTAGGTATGAGCCAGGTGTCAGCAGGTAGGTATGAGTCAGGTGTCAGCAGGTAGGTATGAGTCAGGTGTCAGCAGGTAGGTATGAGTCAGGTGTCAGCAGGTAGGTATGAGTCAGGTGTCAGCAGGTAGGTATGAGTCAGGTGTCAGCAGGTAGGTATGAGTCAGGTGTCAGCAGGTAGGTATGAGTCAGGTGTCAGCAGGTAGGTATGAGTCAGGTGTCAGCAGGTAGGTATGAGTCAGGTGTCAGCAGGCAGGTATGAGTCAGGTGTCAGCAGGCAGGTATGAGTCAGGTGTCAGCAGGCAGGTATGAGCCAGGTGTCAGCAGGTAGGTATGAGTCAGGTGTCAGCAGGCAGGTATGAGTCAGGTGTCAGCAGGCAGGTATGAGCCAGGTGTCAGCAGGTAGGTATGAGTCAGGTGTCAGCAGGTAGGGACGAGTCAGGTGTCAGCAGGTAGGTATGAGTCAGGTGTCAGCAGGCAGGTATGAGTCAGGTGTCAGCAGGTAGGTATGAGCCAGGTGTCAGCAGGTAGGTATGAGTCAGGTGTCAGCAGGCAGGTATGAGTCAGGTGTCAGCAGGCAGGTATGAGTCAGGTGTCAGCAGGTAGGTATGAGTCAGGTGTCAGCAGGCAGGTATGAGTCAGGTGTCAGCAGGCAGGTATGAGCCAGGTGTCAGCAGGTAGGTATGAGTCAGGTGTCAGCAGGTAGGTATGAGTCAGGTGTCAGCAGGTAGGTATGAGTCAGGTGTCAGCAGGTAGGTATGAGCCAGGTGTCAGCAGGTAGGGACGAGTCAGGTGTCAGCAGGCAGGTATGAGTCAGGTGTCAGCAGGCAGGTATGAGCCAGGTGTCAGCAGGTAGGGACGAGTCAGGTGTCAGCAGGTAGGTATGAGTCAGGTGTCAGCAGGTAGGTATGAGTCAGGTGTCAGCAGGTAGGTATGAGTCAGGTGTCAGCAGGTAGGTATGAGTCAGGTGTCAGCAGGTAGGTATGAGTCAGGTGTCAGCAGGTAGGTATGAGTCAGGTGTCAGCAGGTAGGTATGAGTCAGGTGTCAGCAGGTAGGTATGAGTCAGGTGTCAGCAGGTAGGTATGAGCCAGGTGTCAGCAGCTAGGGACGAGTCAGGTGTCAACAGGTAGGTATGAGTCAGGTGTCAGCAGGCAGGTATGAGTCAGGTGTCAGCAGGTAGGTATGAGTCAGGTGTCAGCAGGTAGGTATGAGTCAGGTGTCAGCAGGTAGGTATGAGTCAGGTGTCAGCAGGTAGGTATGAGTCAGGTGTCAGCAGGTAGGTATGAGTCAGGTGTCAGCAGGTAGGTATGAGCCAGGTGTCAGCAGGTAGGTATGAGCCAGGTGTCAGCAGGTAGGTATGAGCCAGGTGTCAGCAGGTAGATACGAGTCAGGTGTCAACAGGCAGGTATGAGTCAGGTGTCAGCAGGTAGGTATGAGTCAGGTGTCAGCAGGTAGGTATGAGCCAGGTGTCAGCAGGTAGGTATGAGCCAGGTGTCAGCAGGTAGATACGAGTCAGGTGTCAGCAGGTAGGTATGAGTCAGGTGTCAGCAGGTAGGTATGAGTCAGGTGTCAGCAGGTAGGTATGAGCCAGGTGTCAGCAGGTAGGTATGAGCCAGGTGTCAGCAGGTAGATACGAGTCAGGTGTCAGCAGGTAGGTACGAGTCAGGTGTCAGCAGGTAGGTATGAGCCAGGTGTCAGCAGGTAGATACGAGTCAGGTGTCAGCAGGTAGGTATGAGTCAGGTGTCAGCAGGTAGGTATGAGCCAGGTGTCAGCAGGTAGGTATGAGCCAGGTGTCAGCAGGTAGATACGAGTCAGGTGTCAGCAGGTAGGTACGAGTCAGGTGTCAGCAGGTAGGTATGAGTCAGGTGTCAGCAGGTAGGTATGAGCCAGGTGTCAGCAGGTAGGTATGAGCCAGGTGTCAGCAGGTAGGTATGAGCCAGGTGTCAGCAGGTAGGTATGAGCCAGGTGTCAGCAGGTAGGTATGAGTCAGGTGTCAGCAGGTAGGTATGAGCCAGGTGTCAGCAGGTAGGTATGAGCCAGGTGTCAGCAGGTAGGTATGAGTCAGGTGTCAGCAGGTAGGTATGAGCCAGGTGTCAGCAGGTAGGTATGAGCCAGGTGTCAGCAGGTAGGTATGAGCCAGGTGTCAGCAGGTAGGTATGAGCCAGGTGTCAACAGGCAGGTATGAGCCAGGTGTCAGCAGGTAGGTATGAGCCAGGTCTCTGGGTGGCGGAGCTCTACTCAGGTGTGTGTGATCCTGGGTTTTGTATATAATTGTTTCTATCGACATCTTACTGCAAGTAAGAGGGAGGATGATTGTGGAGGATCAGTTGATCTTAGTGTATTCACAAGTATACACTTGTGAGGCCCTGTTGCCTAGTAGTAAATAGGTACCTGGGAGTTAGTAAGCTGTCACGGGCTGCTTCCTGGGGTGTGTGTGTGGTGTGGAAAAAAAAGTAGTTAGTAAACAGTTGATTGACAGTTGAGAGGCGGGCCGAAAGAGCAAAGCTCAACCCCCCAACTAGGTGAATACTTATAACTTTGTGGTAGGTGACATGTTGGTATTGGAACAGTGTTGGAACTGTCATTTTTGTGATTGTGTTGGACACGGTCTCTGGGGAGCAGTTGGTGGACTTTGACAAATTTCATGGTTTTTTGGATTTGGTCAAATTTTCCTGGTTTGTGGACAGCCGAATTTCCTCGTTCATGGACTTAGTCAAATTCCTGGTTTGGAGACTTGGACTTTTGAGAGGAAATTCTGACCCTGCCACATTTCCAGACATTGTAACTCTAACGTTTGGAAGACAAGTAATTGACTTTGCCATTTGTCAGTCCAGTTGGGACTTGGTGATATTGATGCCCATACTGTACTCTACCCCACTGTGGTATTGTATGTCCCTACCCACCATGTTCATAACTCTATAGCCAGTCTTAAGTTAGCTAGTGTACCACTGTTGTTGGGTGAGTGTGGCCTAGTAACAGTTAGCTCCTTGACTTGTGCATGGATTAATTAAGTTACTCGTTGGGAATATGTGAATAGCTTGTTGTATATAGAGCGGTGTTATGTACACCGAGGGGGCCTCGTAGCCTGGTGGATAGCGCGCAGGACTCGTAATTCTGTGGCGCGGGTTCGATTCCCGCACGAGGCAGAAACAAATGGGCAAAGTTTCTTTCACCCTGAATGCCCCTGTTACCTAGCAGTAAATAGGTACCTGGGTGTTAGTCAGCTGTCACGGGCTGCTTCCTGGGGGTGGAGGCCTGGTCGAGGACCGGGCCGCGGGGACACTAAAGCCCCGAAATCATCTCAAGATAACCTCAAGAAGATGTATATAAGTTAACCCCAGTAAACTGGTGGAGTTTACCTAGACTTTCACTTTACCCTAGATATTACTTTTTGAGGCCAGGAGGCTTTTTGATGATTT